GGCTCAGGCAATCCACTCACCTCAGCCTCCCAAAGTGCTGGGATTACAGGCTGAGCCACTGAGCCCAGCCTGTGTCCGTATTTTTTTACTTAGTATAATGTTTTTGAGGTTCATCCATATTGTAACATATATCATATATGTACAATATCATATATATACAATACATGCAATATACACAATATCATATATACAACATATCATACATAGTGTGTGTGTGTGTATATATATATATAGTAGCATATATCATATCCCTTATTATGGCTGTATAATGCCTTCATTGTACAGATATGCCACAGTTTATTTGTTATCCATTGATGGACATTTGGATTGTTTCTACCTTTTGGCTATCATGAACATTTGTATACAAAGATTTGAGTATCTATTTTCTTTTCTTTTCTGGGTGAGGGGGTCTCACTCTGTTGCCTAGGCTAGAGTGCAGTAGCACCATCATGGCTCACTGCAGTCTCGATCTCCTGGGCACAAGAGACCCTCCTGTCTTCCCGAGTAGCTGGGACTACCAGTGCATGCCACCAAGCCTGGCTAATTTTTTTGATAAATGAGGTCCTGCTTTGTTGTCCAGGCCGGTCTTGAATTCCTGGGCTCAAGTAATAATCCCACTTCAGCTTCCCAGAGTGCTGAGATTACAGGCATGAGTCATCATACCCAGTCTGAGTACCTGTTTTCAATTCTTTTGGGTATACAACTAGGAGTGGAATTGCTGGTCATATGGTAATTCCATGTTTACCTTTTTGAGGAACTATCAACTGTTTTCCACAGTGGTTGAACCATTTTACATTGCTGCAACTTCTCCACATCCTTGTCAGCACTCATTATGTTCTGGGGTCTTGTTTTGTTGTAATTATCACCACTCTAGAAGGCGTGAAGTGAAGCTCATTATGCATTTATATTTCCCTAATGGCTACAGACATTGAGCATCTCTTCGCCCATCTATTGCCTTTTATGGGGTTATGTCTTTTTTTTTCCCCTGATTTTTTTCAATCATTAGCTACTTGTAGAAGGGCTTGTGACTTTTAAGAACACCCCTGTATTATAGTTCTGCTGAGCTCTTGGTAGGATATAAAATGAGATGTTTGTATTCAATCTTTGATTACTACCCAGAAATCCTCTCCCCCCGCTGCCTTGCCCTGGAGGTGATTAGAATGGGGAAGAGGGACGTCCCAGGGATTGGAAGGAGCCAGGCCTCAAGGGACTGTGACTCTAGACCCAGCTCTGCCAAGAGCCTTCTGTGTGGTCTTGGCCAAGTCACTATTCCTCTCTGGGTTTTGTTTTCCTCAGCTAGGTTTGAGCTGTGTCTTGAGCTGTGTTCCTTACGATTCTTTATAGCTCTCACATTGTAAAGGTCCGTGTGTGCCAAGGGGCTTGACCTCTCGGCCCCCCGTTCAAGTTATGTGTATGTGCATGTGTGCAAGAGTGTGTGTGTGTGTGTGTGTGTGTGTACGCATGAGTGTGTGTGTGAGTGTGCGTGTGTGTACGCAAGAATGTATGTATGTGTGTAGGAGTGCACATGTGTTTGCGTGTGTGTGCACGTACATGTATATGCGTGAGTGTATTTGAATGTATATGTGTGCATGTATATGTGTGTGTGTATGTGTGTGAGTGTAGGTGTATATACGTGTGTGTGAGTGTGTGTATATGTAAGTGTGTGTGAGTACGTGTGGATGTATACGTGTGTGAGCATAGCTGTATATACAGGTGTGTGTACGTGAGAGTGTGCGTGTGTGTGTTTGTGTGTGCCTGCACATGCGTTGGCAGGGTCTGTGTCTCTTCCTGAATCCTCCCCTCCTGCACTGTCTCCCCAGTGGAACACGCGGGCCAAGCGGGAGAAGCTGACAGAGCTGATGTTCGAGCAGTACAACATTCCTGCCTTCTTCTTATGCAAGACGGCCGTGCTCACCGCGTATCCTCTGGGCTGAGCTGCTCTGCCCGGGTGGAGGCCCGGGGTGGGGTGCGCGGCGCAGCGAGCTAGGGGCTGGGCCTTGTTCTTCAAGGATCAGTGACCCAGATGGGCAAACACCTCCCCCGTCCCTTCGGTGCCGAAAGCCCGGTGGGCTGAGTGCCTCAGACCCTGCGGTGGCTGGCTAAGTGGCCATTTCCCATTCCTTGGGTCAGGCTGAGCGGAGAGTGAGTTGGGTCAGGGAGGCAGCAGGGACTGGAGCTGGACAGAGGAGGGAGGAGAGTAGGGCACCGAGGCGGCTCCTTCCCCAGCAGCCCCGCAGCACTGACTCCTTTCAAGGTCTTCTTTGCCATGAACCCCGTGCTGGGCACTGAGGCAACAGGGACCCTCACTTCAGAGAGCCCCTAGGATGCAGAACCAAGAATAAAGAGAAGCTGGGGGCTCAGAAGGAACAGACGTTGGGACTTAGGGAAGAAGTGACCAGGGTCTCAGAGCCTTTCTCCAGGAGACGGGGGACGGGATGGACCCCAGTGGAGCCGAGTAACCAGGCCAGAGCTGGATCCAGCCCCCTCGCTGGCTGCTGCTGCCTCTTTGACCCACCCACTCCATGCCAGCTTTGCCAACGGGCGCTCCACGGGCCTCGTGCTGGACAGCGGGGCCACCCACACCACGGCCATTCCGGTGCACGACGGCTATGTCCTGCAGCAAGGTGGGGCCGCGGCGGGGGCTGGGGGTGCCTCAAAGAACCGGGTTCTGACAGTGCCTCCTCTTCCAGGCATCGTCAAGTCACCCCTGGCAGGGGACTTCATCTCCATGCAGTGCCGGGAGCTCTTTCAGGAGATGGCCATTGACATCATTCCACCCTACATGATCGCAGCCAAGGTGGGCTGCCCCCTCAGAGTCCTGACACTTGCCCCATGACCCCCAACCCACTGGCCCATGAGGTATCAGAGCAGAGAGCAGCCGGGCCCCCGGAGGACCCTGCATCTGGTTCCTCCTTTGACGACGGAGACACCAGACAGGCTGAAGAGCATGGCCGAGGTCACGCAACCAGCAGGCAGCGTGATGGTTCTAGGGTTTGACAGACCCAGGTTCAAGTTCTGCTTCTGCCGTGTCAGGGATACGTGGCCAACAGCACAACAGTAAATAAAGCTCCCTGGGCCCCAATTTCCTCTCCTGTAAAGTGAAACAGCAGTAGACAGGAGAGCTGTGAGTATTCCATAACACCAACGCAGTGAGAGGCCGTTCCCTTAAGATCCCGTCTCCACCGTGTTCCTCACACCCTCAGCTTTCTCTGAAGAGGCCTTCCAGACCAGCTGCACACCCAGGGTGTGTGTGGCGCGCACAGAGGCAGGCTCTCCCCATTCTCTCTCCTCTCCAGCAGGGAAGGTGAGAAGCCCCTCTTCCGGGCAACACAGCAGAGGCCCCAGCGCCGGTCAGCTGCAGAGCCCAGGACGGCGGTATGGTGGGGTGGGCTGGGCTGGGCGCTAAATAGGCTGTGCCCCCACAGGAGCCTGTTCGGGAGGGTGCCCCCCCCAACTGGAAGAAGAAGGAGAAGCTCCCCCAGGTCTCCAAGTCCTGGCATAACTACATGTGCAACGTGAGATGCTGGAGAGGGTCTCCCAAACTCCTCCCCGCCCAGCACCCTCTCTGCCGTGAATGGGGGATGGGAGAGAGACCCCGCGGGGGGGTGGGCGTGGGGTGCCAGACCCTCACCCACCCCTGGGTTCTTAGGAGGTGATCCAGGACTTCCAGGCCTCGGTGCTGCAGGTCTCAGACTGCCCCTATGATGAGCAGTGAGTGGGGCTTGGGGCTGGGGTGGGAAAGAGGGCAGAACTGGGGGCCTCTGGTGCTGCAGGACCCCCGGTGGAGGACCCCGGGTCCTTCTTGAGCACCCAGGCCGAGTCTTGCTTTCCTCTGGGCAGGGTGGCGGCGCAAATGCCCACCGTGCATTACGAGATGCCCAACGGCTACAACACAGACTACGGCGCGGAGCGGCTCCGCATTCCCGAGGGCCTGTTTGATCCCTCGAACGTCAAGGTTTGGCTGCGTGGCAGGCACTGGTGTGGGTGCTGACTGGCATCCCCGTGTCTGAGGGGAGGCCGGGGAGGATGGCCAGGTCTAGGGAGAGGGCAGAGGGTCCAAAGCCCCAGCCGCCTTTCTTCACAGGGCTTGTCAGGGAACACCATGCTGGGCGTGGGCCACGTGGTGACCACCAGCATCGGCATGTGTGACATCGACATTCGCCCGGTGAGGCCCGAGGCTGACGCTGGGCAAAGGGACTCTGGAGTGGGGGGGGCAGGCAGGGAGGGGCTGTTCCCTGCCGGCTTACTCCTCCTCCCTGCTCTTAGGGCCTGTACGGCAGTGTCATTGTCACCGGCGGGAACACGCTGCTGCAGGGCTTCACCGACAGGCTCAATCGAGAGCTTTCCCAGAAGACCCCGCCGGTAGGAGTCCACGCCACCACTCAGCGCCCCCAACTGCAGGCCTGGCTTAGCCCCTCAGGGCTGAGTCCTTCCTCCTTCCCACACCTCAAGTGTCCTGGCCACCAGAGCAGGCCCCTGCCCCGGTCTCCCCCGTGTCCCCACGCCCTGCCCCTTCCCAGAACCTAGGTGTCTGCTTCCCCCAGCCCCTTTGTGTCCCCAGAGCATGCGGCTGAAGCTCATTGCCAGCAATAGCACCATGGAGCGCAAGTTCAGCCCTTGGATTGGAGGCTCCATCTTGGCCTCACTGGTAAGGCGGGGGGGGGGGCAGGGGCTAGCCCCGAATGTGGGAAGAGGAGACCCAGACAGCCCCCGCTGCTTTGCCTACCCCCTCATTCATTCATGCAACAAACATTTATTTTGAGAAAGAGCCCAGTCAGAGTGCGTTCCCAGATGGGTGCGTGCTCTCACAGGACACACATGGGGGCAGAGAAACAGGAAACGGGAGAGATTGGCAGCATGAGCTTTTGGGGAGGCACCCGCTGTACTCAAGGAGCAGAGAGGAGGCCCTGCGGGTCTGGGGCAAGGGAGAGATGTGATGATCTCAAGTGTGTCTGGGAAGGCTGTCAGGCGCGAGTCCTTGGGATCAGAGTGCAGGCCTTGCAAGGAGACTCTTCCTGTTGTTCTGGAATCATAGTGTGGGTGGCAGCGGGGATGGGACGGAGAACAAGGGGCACCTGGAAAAGGAGGCAGTCTGTGGTGAGTTCAGACCGGACCTGCTGCTGGGAGTGAGGCAACATGCGGAGCAGGGAGCTGGAGGTGCAAACTGCACCTGGAGGGTGTCAGTCGCACACAGGAGACAGCGGGGCGTGGCAGACAAGGAGGACATCCACTGGCAGGGGAGTCCCCCAAGGAGACAGAAGCAAAAGTGAAAAAGACAGAGGCCGGCAGTCTGAACCTAACCTCCTCCGGGCTTAAAGTGGACAGACAGCCCAAACAGTTCCCACCTTCACGAGCAGGGACAGTCTAGAGCTGAGACAAGTAAGCAGGAAGGCACCGGAAAGTGTGGGGCGTTCTTTCAGGAGGGGGTCTTGAAGAGCCTCCGAGGAGCATTTCAGCTGAGATGGGAAGGGTAAGAATTCACGAAGCAAAGAGGAAGAGAGGGTGCTCAGGCCATGGGGAGAGCCATGCGACTCCAAAAGCAATGCCAGATGCAGTTGAGTCTGGTTTTTAGGGAGTCCACTTGGGTTGCAGAGTAGAGTGGATCGAAGGGGACCAGGTGGAAGTTAGGGTGTCCTGCCGTGATGTCCACTCTGACAAGGGTGTGGCAGAGGAGTGGATCTCAGCAGTGGTCGGTAGGATGTGGACAGTTTGCCTACAGTGAGAGAGAGAGAGTCAAGGACGAGACCCAGGCTGCCAGGTAGGGGCCAGGGCAGCACCATCCAACAGAAACATAATTCGAGGCATGTATATACTTAAAAATTTTTTAGTAGCCATATTTTAAAAGGAGTACAAGGAAACCAGTGGAATTACATTTTAAGAATATATTTTATTGGGCCAGGTGCGGTGGCTCAAGCCTGTAATTCCAGCACTTTGGGAGGCCGAGGCAAGAGGATTGCCTGAGCCCAGGGATCTGACACCAGTCTGGGTAATTTGGGGAAACCTTACCTCTACAATATATCAAAGAATTAGCCAGCGTGGTAGCACATACCTGTAGTTCCAGCTACTTGGAAGGCTGAGGTGGAAGGATCACCTGAGCCCGGCAGGTTGAGGCTGCAGTGGCCGTGAGCGCTCCACTGCACTCCGACCTGATGGACAGTGAGACTCCAACAAAAAAATATATATAGATTACATTTTATTAAATCTGGTATATGCAAAATATGACCACTTCAATGTGGTCATATTGATGTGATCAATATAAAAAATTATTATTACATTTCTTTTTATTTACTTAGTCATTAAAATCCAATAAATATAGGCAGAATGCCTATAATCCCAACACTTAGGGAAGTTAAGGTGAGAAGATACTTTGAGGCCAGGAGTTCAAGACCAGTTAAGGCAACACAGTGAGAACCCTACATATACAAAAAATTTAAAAATTAGCTGAACGTGGTGGTGCACATCTGCAGTCCCAGCTACTCAGGAGGCTGAGGCAGGAGAATCACTTGAGCCCAGGGAATCTGAGGTTGCAGTGAGCTATGATCACACCACTGCCTGGGCAACAGACTCTGTAGCCAAAAACCAGACAAAAACCCTGATGTATATTTTCCACCAGCCACTTTTTATTTTTTTGAGTTAGAGTCTCACTCTGTCACCCAGGCTGAAGTGCACTGGCACACTCTTGGCCACCACAGCCTCAACCTGCTGGGTTCAGGTGATCCTTCCACCTCAGCCTTCCAGGTAGCTGGAACTACAGGCGTGCTACCACACCCGGCTTATTTTTTTATTTATTGTAGAGACGAGGTCTCACCAATTTGCCCAGGCTGGTCTCAAACCCCTGAGCTCAGGCGATCCTGTCACCTCGGTCTCCCAAAGTACTGGGATTACAGACTTGAGGCACCGTGCTCAGCTTTGTTTTTTGTTTTTTGATTTTTTTGAGTCAGAGTCTTACTGTTGCCCAGGCTGGAGTGCAGTGGCTCGCTCATGGCCACCTCGGCCTCGACCTGCTGGGCTCAGGCGGTCCTTCTGCCTCAGCCTTCCAAGTAGCTGAAACGACAGGCACACGCTACCACACCCAGCTTATTTTGTGATTTATCGTAGAGACGAGGTCTCACCAAGTTGCCCAGGCTGGTCTCGACCCCTGAGCTCAGGCAGTCCTCTTGACTCAGCCTCCCAAAGTGTTGGGATTGCAGATTTGAGCCACCATGCCCAGCCTCCCAGCCACATCTTAAGTGTTTATGAAACATGAGGCTAGTGGCCACTGCATTGGACAGCACAGGTGTACAGAAAGAACACAGAAGAAGCAGGTTTGGGTGAGGCCTGGGGGAAGGTGGTGAATTCAGTTGTGGACATTTTGATTTGAGGTCCTGAGGGATACTTAGGGGGAAGTGTCCAAGAGACTGCTGAGTATTTATGTCCAGAACACGAGACATAGGGGAGGAGTGGGGTGGACGAGATGGCCCAGAGAGGCTGTTCCGTCATCGGAAGAGAGAGCTAGGGACAGACGCCAGGGAGCACAGACATTAACCTTCAGGCAGAAGCAGAGCAACCAGCAGAGAGAAGGGACAGTCTGAGGTGGCCAGTGCAGGAACCCTCAAGGGGCAAGTTTGAATAGGGGTGGGGTGCCAGAGGGTCCCATGGCGAGGGTGGAGGAAAGATTTTCCTTGGGAGTGAGGGAGACTCGACACATGTGTCAGCCCTGACGGAGCGAGGAGAGGACAGCTGGTCCGGGAGGAATGTGCCTGCAAGGGCTGTGGGGTGTGGGGTGAGGTCGGCTGATCTGGGGCTGAAAGCGCCACCACCCAGCTGGGGGACGGGCCTGGCTCAGGGCAGACTGGTGCTCCATCAATACTTGTTGAATGAATGAACTCTTGATTTAATGATACGACGGGGGTATCCTCCCTCTGAGCGGGAGAGAGGGGAA